AGCTTATCTTGGGAAAGTCCACCTTAAAGAATTTATCACTCCAAGGTGACTATTATCAGTTTAAATTCTAACAAGATATAATTCTAATGAGCTGTCATTTATTTAAAAATTTACTTGCCACTTTTCTACCAACTAGAGTTAATCCCACCATGTAGATCCAGTTCTCCAAGTTGAAGTTCACATGCTCATTAATATCAGAACTAAGTTAAAAATTAATAACCCTAAGGGGAAATTTGCAGTAGCTCAGTTACACAGAACAAAAGTTAATTTGTATCTGAACATTTTCCTTGAAAGATTTTTTCTTAAAATTAATTTAAATGTAAACAGTGGAGACTCACTCTCTGTATATTATTATCTGTGAGCTACTGCATTGGAGTTTAGACCCAGAAAAGGAGAAAGATTGGTGCTGAGATCAGCAGAAAGAGGTATGGGAGCATTGAGGATATGTCTGACCTCATGGGAAATGGCTTTGTGCTACTGATGCTGTTGATGGGACAGGTTCCCTTTGTGAAATTGGTGAAAGTCAGATATGGCTGTCCTCATGTGGTCCTTGTTTTTTAAGGCATAATTTCTTCTCTACTCAGTTTCCACAGGACTAGATTCTGAACCATTGGTTTCTGAATCCATTTTGTATTCTCTTACAAAATTATTTCTTTTATATCCCTGACTCTGAACTATAGACCTCACTGCCTGTCTGAAATCACTGATTCCCTATAGTTCTGACTTTTAACATCAATAGCCAACAGTACCACAAAAAGGAGAAGTAAGTTGGGATATACATTTTAAGGTCTCTAGTAACTACACAAGGCCTCAGGAATTGATAGAATACCAATATACTTACTTCAGTAAACAGGTGCTGCCCTGGACGTACTCACCAGGTTATGCCAAAAACTCGGGAGGAATATTACCTGGTCAACTGACTGGAAGAGATCTACATTTATTCCCATTCAAAAAAATAAGGTACTCAGACAGAACATGGAAATTGTTGAAGAGTATCACTAATATCAAACACAATCAAAATCCTGCTGAAGATTATCCAAAATAACTGGAACAGAGAACTGCCAGATGTGCAAGGTGGGTTTAGAAGAGGTCATGGCACTAGGGATTTCATAGCCAATATTAGATGGATCTTGGCCAAAAGCAGAGAGTATCAGAGGAATGTCTATCTGTGTTTCATTGACTATGCAAAGGCAATTCACTGTGTGGATCACAACAAATTGTAGATAACCTTGAGAAGAATGGGAATCCCAGAACACTTAATTGTGTTCATGTGAAACCTATATTTGAGACAGGAAGCAGTAGTCAGAACAGAGCAGGGAAATACTGAATGGTTCAGGATCAGAAAAGGTGTGTGTCAAAGATGCATCCTATCTCCATACCTTTTCAATCATATGCAGAACAGGTCATTTAGGAGGCTGGATTTTATGAGGAGGAATGTGGCATCAGGATTGGAGGGAGACTCATCAACAATCTGTGTTATGCAGATGACACAACCCTGCTTGCTGAAACTGAAGAGGACATGAGTTGTTTGCTGCAGAAGGTCAAGGGCTGTAGTCTTCAATATGGATTGAAGCTCAACATCAAGAAAACATTCTCACAACTGGACTGACTGGCAGCTTCATGATAGTTGGGGAAGAGACAGATTGTTAACAACTTCAGCCTGCATGCTTGCACAACCAACACTCTTGGTACCAGCAGTCAGAAGATAAAAAAACAACAACAAACTGAATTGCACTGGGAATGTCTGCTGTTAAGGACCTATCTAGAGTTCTGAAAAGCAATGATATCAGTCTGGAGACTAAGGTGTGCCTGATATAGGTGATGGTCTTTGCAGTCACTTGCTATGCACCAGAGAGCTGGACAATGACTAAGGATGATAGAAGAATTATTGATGCCTTTGAGTTGTGGTGCTGGAGAAGAATGCTGAGTGCCAGGAGAACAAACAGATCAGTACTTGAGAGGGTGAGGCCAACCTTCTCCCTGGAGGCATGGATTCTGAAGCTCTGTCTACGACATACTTTGGTCATGCAGCCAGGCAGGTGCAGTCCTTGTAGAAGAACATCATGCTTGGAAGGGCGGAGGTACAGTGCAGGGAGGAAGACCCAGGATGAGATAGACTGACTTAGTGACTGGAGAGATGGGAATGGGTCTGTCATAGACAATGAGATTGACTCACGATAGGGCAGGGTTCAGAGCTGTTGTATATAGGGGTCACTATGAGTCACAGGCAACTCAACAAGAACTAACAACTTAAAACACATGTAAATTGACATTATTTAAAGGCAAGACCCTAATTAACTAAAAATGTATATTGTATACCCAAGAGAAACCACAAAAAAACTAAGAGGTATAAATTGTAAATCAATAGTAGAAACAATATGTTGTTGTTGTTGTTGTT